TGTCAAGTGTAAACGAACCTCCTGATATTGTATGGAATTCACAGGCCTCTACAGGAGATATCGGCAGTGATCAGTGGGCACTAACAATATGCCCCCTTCAAGCCGAACCGCCCCCTTCTTCCCGACCTTCCAATGACGGATTCCAAGCCATTCGTATGGGAGCAGTCACTTGGACGATGCCGCTGTCCTCACTGACGTACCCCTCCACATTTGCCATCTAGCAATAGGTAGGTGCCCCTCATCTCAAAAAGAGGGTTGTCAGTCTCGTGGCTCCCTTCGGCTATTGCCACAATGTATCTTCGAGTCTGAGTTTGAGATGAGCTTGAAACAGAAGCTTCAGATAGAGGATGAAGATCACCTTTTGAATGACGCGCACGTTTTTGCCTCTTTTTCAGTTAAAAGTATCTTTTTCAAGTCTCAGGTTACTCATCAATCCCGCTAATCCCATTCCCCTACGCCTACTTTGTACGTGTTGTTCGCTTCATAACAACCATCCTAGGTCTCTTGCGCTAATATGAACTCCTTATCCCTGAGTCAGAGTAGGCGTGGCGTTCGAACTTGGCACGGAAGTGGTTACTCGTGGATTGTTCCAGTCTGGGCACATACTGTCATCTTGTTCTGTGTTGACAGAGACACGACAACAATTGTGTTAAGATGAAAATATCTCACCAGAAGCATAGACACCTTCAGGTTAAGTTGAAACATGCGGCCACGCCTACCCGATCTCAGGGATTTCGAGTATAGTTAGGAGGGGGCATTCGGCTGCACCTCAGATTCCCTCCCCCTTAATCGAGACTGGGCTTAGATTAGAACGCTTTTGACCAGAATAGTCGAGGGACAGTCCGTGCGCTCAGGCTCTGATTATAGAGACGGTACGCAGAGGCGCTGCGCGGAGATGGCTCCTCCAAAACTACGCTGAGACGTACTTCGATCGCTCTTTGAATATTGCGTTCACTTACGAGCCTATAGTCCCGGAAGTGTCTCTCCAGAAGAAAGAAAATGTTATTGGAGGACACCCTAAGTGGGAATCCCTGCAACTCACTTTGCCGAAGTTCGTCGAACCCCCTCCTTGTTTCAATGCCAGCCAAAGGACATTACCCTGCTGCATCCGGCTAGGCATCGCTTCTTTGGAAAGCGTCAGAACTTGCCACCTATAAGGCACGTTCGCCTTCGTTACTCACTGTAAAATCGCGAAACAGGGACAATCTCAGAGACAGCGGACTTGACTACCCGAAGAAGGAAGGACGCCTACGAATCGGTTTAGAGTGGAGACTGCCTCTAACGCTTCATTCCCTTCTTCTCATTCTCGAAGAGCTAAGCACTAATGTGTTATTGCCACACACGGTTCTGATAAGATGGCGCGGTTCCAAGAAGTTGCCCTCCCCTGCAACTATTTTTGAAGAACGTACAAATTCGCCGTGAGTTGCTAAGTCACGGCCCATCGTGCCCTTGGAGAAAAATTCTAGGGAAAATTATAAAAAAATACAGCAGTATCCCCTCAAAATTCTCTCCTCCGGTGCACTCCTCTGTTCCACCTTGACCTTGAATTTCTTGAATTTTTCCAACTTCTTGTGACTTCTCCGGTCTTTTTTTTCAAAAATTCTGCAGTTTATTCCACATTCCTAAAGACCACCGTGGAGCGGGATATGCCCATATATAATGCACCTGAGACAGGAAAAAACCAAGAAAATCTAACAACAGAAAGCAGTTCTTCGAGGCAACTGCGATCCGTACCGTCCAGTTTCCATATACGAGCCCCACTCGCTGGAGATCCCTACGTAGGACGTGCCCTGCAGGGCACATCATTGGTTGGGGATTTTAGTCGAGTCTGTACGACCCCCCCCTTTTTTGGGGGTTGGTACGACCCCCCCCCCTCCGGCCCTCTGTTCCTCCTCATCGAATCGAGCCGTCGAGCAGGGGGCGTGAAACAGGAAAATCACGAAAAGTCAACCACCGCTCCTACAACGCCAAAACGTAAATACGACCCCCCCCAACAATGACCAAGTACGACCCCCCCCCCCCTTTTACAACGTCCGTGAAGCGAGAAAAATCAACTATCAAAATAAATTTTTCCCAGCCCAAATACGACCCCCCTCTCCTGGCGGCCAAATACGACCCCCCTATTGGGGATTCCCCAACAACGATGTGCCCTGTGCCCTGCCTGCAGGAATGCGACAGCTACGGTAGCTGGCGCATAAAGAGTGTTGGCCGCATTTACAGAAACAAGTACCGGGGTCACTTCGAGTTCATTACTACAATGTACACATCAGCATATGCATCGATTATGTTACAACTACTTTTTACTAGTGGCCCTTTTGAACTCAAAAACGTTGCTAACTAGGCCACCAGGTCGTTTCCAGCGTAACTGCACGACTAACCGGGTTTCTTGCGTCTTCTTTTCGCATTTCTCTTCCGTCCAACTTCCTCGAAATGCCTTTCCTTATGTTGTATGCTGGACCTGATGTTTTTTTCACATTTTTATTCATTGAGTGCTCTTATGCCACAAATTTACCACTTTACTCTGTCAAACACTTGTAATAACGATGATGTGCGTATCTTATCAAAATGTAACCAGACGCAATTCACTCATGTGAAATACGGTCTAAAATATGAACTACGATTTAGGGAACCTCTGGTCGATTCTCATGATTTGGCTGAGGGTGGTTTCCCTTGTGCTTGTGGCCGGCGTGACGGCCGTCAAACGTGAGGACTTCAAGACTTGTGACCAGTCGGGATTCTGCAAGCGGCAACGAGGAGCCAAGGTCAGTCCCAAAATTTCCAATTTTTTAATCCTGGTATTGCTTTCTTTGTCCTGACAATGACTTTTGACTGACTGATACCCATGTACTCCTTTGGTGCACGGTCGCCCCAACCGCCGAGTCTCCCGAATCGCCGGATCGCTCGGTCTCCTCAATCGCCAGACCGATGCCTATACTTTCCTCAGCGCGCGTTTTCTCGAATCGCCGATCAACGAATAGCTAAATAATCTCAGTCGCAAAATGTGAACGTGGCCCTAGACCGCGTGCAGACTCCGCGATCGCGCGGCGGGGGCATTCCACCGCCACACGATGAGGTTTGCAGCGAGAATCGTGATTAGCCGCGCTAGTGGGCGTCGCGTGCGACGTCGCGCCTGCTAATGACGACGATTTTAGGTGGTATTGGTCGAGAATAGACAATGTATGACCAAAAATAGACATAAGTGTCCATGTCCTTGTCTACATGAAATCCGATGCTCCAATCGAAAGGGTAGTGCAAACTTAAGGAGACGTCGCGCTCCATTGCAGCGCGCGGCGACGCGGCAATTTACGATTCTCTTGCCGTCCCCCAAATGGTGCACCGCGGCACAATTCAAATCAGAGCACATCATTAGTTAGGAGTTTTGGTCGATTCCGTGCGACCCTCTGGGGGTGGCTTGATACGACCTTCCCCCCTAGTTGCCTCCTCATTGAGCTGTAGAGGGGGGGGGGTATTACATGTAGTTCACATGTAACAGGAAAACCACGAAAAGGCAACAACTTCTTTCAGAAGGCCAGTAAGCAAGTACCAACTCCTCCTTCCAACAACAAGCTAATATGACCGCCTCCCTTATAGCACCTGTGAAACAAGAAAAACCTCTATTGAAAAAAAATTTCTTTCAGGCCCAGTGATCAAATACGACAGCCCTGTTGGGGAACCCTCAACTTATCTGCCCTGATTCAAATTGGCACTGTGTGGTCGCGGCCCGATTTAAATTTGCCGTTGCAGCGGCGCATTGCGCGGCGGTGGAGCGCCCCGGTCGTGGTCGCGCGATCGCGAAGTCTGAAAGCCGTGTCATAGATATAGGGGTGCTTATGCTCAATAGAGAAGGAGCTTCACGACTGTTATAGCAATT